GGGCGGGTCGCTTTCAAAATGTGGCACATGTGGTGCTCGCCTTAGCGCCGCGCACATTCGCCTTCAAACCTTGCACAAGTTTAACGGATTGAGAGCAGGTGGTTTTCAAAATGTGGTTCTTGTCGCACCGCTGCGCACATTCGTTCTAGAAAGTTTGCCAGAGCTTCACGGAGGGAGGGCAGGTCGTTTTCGCAATGTGATTATCGCCTTAGCGCCGCGCACATTCGTTTTCTAACTTGCCAGAACTTATCGGATTGAGGGCGGTTCATTTGTCAAAATGCGGTTCTCGCCGTAGCTTCGCGCACTACTGTCTATAAAACTGAAAGAGGTTCACTGGTTCTCACGGTTTGCGTACCCGGAATTGTGTTTTGGAACGAGTCAGCCTTGTCAGGGCGCAACAGTTACGTTGATTCGCGGTGTTGTAATCCCAGGAATGGCGTTCTGGCACGATTCAGGATCGCCAAGAGGTAACAGTCAGGTTAACTCGTTGCATTGAAGTCCCGAGACTGCTGTTTTGGCACGCTCGAGGATGTTCACACGGTTGTCCCCAAACGGGGCAATTCCTTCAGTGGAAATGAGCCTTTGTAAGGGCCTATGAAGAGGAAGCTTGGCGGGAGGGTGGATTCCAATATCGTTGATGAGTCTTGGGTGTACGCTGGTCCTCCTCCTCATCCTCATCCTCCTTCCCCCCCCCCCTCCCACCCTCCCCGCCCCCTCTACTTTCGCCCCCCTCCACTCCTCCCCCCCAGAATGGAAGGGACGGGAGGCGCACTGGCGGTGCGCCCGTTCGCGGGCGCCCCGGTCTCCGATCTCGGTGTCCGCAACCCTGGGCCCTCTTTTCCCCATGGAGGCGAGGCCGCCCACGGCCCCGCAGCACTTGAACTCGCGCGAGGTGAAGACCTGGCCCCGCTGCGGCCATCGCACTGCTGCGCGGAACGGCAGACCAGGAACGGAGGGGAGCGCCTGCCACGAACAGGCCGCCAGACCTGGACCTGGACCTGAGGAACGGCCTGATAAGCAAGGCCCGTCCTGAACCCGAAGTGATCCTTGCCTCAGCATCCTGACTGTAGGCCACCCAGCTCCGCGCCTCGCGCCGCGCTTGGGCCAAGAGACGCTGAAAGTCGCCCGTGCTGAGCGCGCCGCGGCCCTGAAGACGGAACAGCTCGCCGGCCCGAGCCGCGAGGCGCCAAGCGCAGGGTCTCCTAACTTCGCGCATCGCGCCCCGCGATGAACGACGCACGTATGTGTGTATATGTGTATATATATATATATATATATATATATATATATATATATATATACATACAAATATACAAACATGTAAATATACACATACATATATACTCGCGCCCTCGCGCCGCCGCCCTGGAGAAGGGCGCCTTTCCAACCCAGGCCGCGATGCACGAAGCGCGGCTGTCCCCAGTGACCTGGACCTTTACCCCCCTCCCCGACGCGCGGAGTGCGCCAGGGGCGGCGACGAAAGGCGCCGCCAGTGAGGTCCAGCGCCGACCCATGGAATCCGCGCGGACCTCCGAAGGTTCGCGCTTATGCCCATGCTTCTTCTTCTTCTAGTGTTAAGTCGGGCATGTCCTCCTTCAGGCGGATTTTGGAAGAAGCATTGAAGATAGTCAAAACATGATCAAAAGTAGTCAGAAGAGCACGGAAAATCGTCACCAGACTATGGTTTAACCATTCTTGACTATTCCTCCTGTAGAGCCCGACTCAACTCTAGTGGCTCTGGGGGTCAGCCTTCGCCCGCCCCGAACAGGGCACGGCATGTTTGGTGGGATGGAATATCAGAGCTCCCCTCCAGGGTTCAAAGGACCCCTCCAGACGCGATTCCAAGAAAGGTAATTGTTGTTCGAACCTTGGATGACTCTAAGAACCTCGGTATCCTTTTCGGGCCTTGGCCGAAGATGGTTTAGGCAGGAGAACATAAGACCTCGATCTTGGCATTGAAGCCAGTGTGCAAATAGCCAGCCTCGTCGCAGTCGAACATCTTTCGGAACGAATTCTTGAACACGTGCAGGCTGAAGGAGTCGCTCATGACCATGTATCCGCCAGACTTCTCGACCAGAACCTAGAGAGAACAACAACAAAAAAACCTTCGGTCGGGGATCTTCTGACCCAGGTCAATCCAGACCCGGGTCAGCAGGAAACCAAAAACTGCTATGCAGGAAAAAAAAAAAATGCAACGCAGGTCTTCGCAAACCCGGGTCAGCCAATAGGCGCGGCCGCCTCGCGGCCACGCGCGGCGCGCTAACCCGGGTCAGCCAGAGGGGGTCTTCGCAGGATCCTGCAGGATCCGGTGCCCTGGCTGACCCCCGTCTGCATTGACCCCCGTCTCGAGGCTCCCGATTCGGTCGGCGCTGGACACCCTCACCGCACGCTCTCCCCCGGCGCGCGGAGGCCCGGGGGGGGGGGGCGCTGAGAGCGGCCCGGCGCCGACCCCAGAGACCCGCGCGCGCCTCCGAAGGTTTCTGCTTGCGCCCTTCCCCGGGACGCACAGAGGCATGCTGGCACTGCATGTCCTCCTTGGAGGCGCGCGTCCGACCCGAACATATACGTCCCCAGCACGAAGGCTTTCTCCTCCTGGGGCCCTGAGCGACGGCTTGAAGTCTTGAGCAGACGCGCCTGGGATAACCGCCGCCGGATCCCGTGAAACTCGGGCGGATTCAATTGTGGCTTTGGCGTTTGCTTCGGTGGATCCGGTTTCCGTCCGCACGGATCCGATTTCGGATTTGCTGGATCCGTGTTCGGTCTTATTGTTTTCGGGGCCCACCAAAGGGGGGGGGGACCCTGAGGGGGGGGGAGTTCGATCCGCTGGTGCATCGAATGTCCGAAAAACGATACCCCCCGCGCGCCCCGATTGTCGACACCCCTCGGATTCTGGCGACGGCCGGAGACCTGGTTTTGCATCGTTTTTCTGCGGTTCGATGCGCCAACAGACCGAACTCACCCCCCCCCCTGTGGCACCCCCCCCCCTTTGCGAGGTCCCGATGTTTGCGGCGGATCCGATTTCTACCCCATGTTTAATTTATGTTATTAAAATATTATATATATATATATACACATATATATATATGCATATATATATATATATATATATATATATATATATATATATATAGATGAAATCGGATCCGCGGAACCCGGAACCCGCCCGTGCAAAGATTCGAAGTACGGGTGAGGGGGTTTGGTCATGAATTTCCAACTCATCATCGCCAACCTCAAGAGGAAAATCTCTCGTCCTGCGTAAGTAGTACACCCATCTTGTAGTATATCGTTTCCAAAAAAGCACCCGCCGCGACGCATATACTATAAGATTTCTCTGTGCGCGCGTCGCTCCTGGGGGGGCGACGCTCACATAGTATTTGTATGTTGGGGTGCCACCGATCCCCCCACGAACCTTCATCTCGTACAGCCCGACCTGATCCAGCGAGCAGGCGAAGACGTCGACCGCGAAACCTGCCGCGATGGCGCGGCTCGCCAGCGACGCGTAGTACTTCAGGGCGCTCTTCGTGTACTTCGCGTTCGGCGTCTCCTTCTGCAGGTCCAGGTGCGACCGGATCGTCTCGACGAGCTCCTCCCCGCAGACGGAGCCCGGCCCTGCAGGAGCCCAGGAATCCGGCCAACTGCTGCTGCTCCGCCCCTCACTATCCCTCGCCCTGCCCTCAAAGGGGGAGGTGGAGGAGGGACGGAGAGACGGAGAGAGGCAGAAGGAGCAGGATCAGGAAAAGGAAGATCTGCATAGGGTGAAAAAATGTCGGAGGTCCGCGCGCAATCGTTGAATCGGCGCTGGACCCACCCTTCCCTGGCACGCGGAGCTCGCAGGAACGGCGCCGGAGGCGCCGCCAGGGGGGGCCCAGCGCCGATCGAAGAAATCTGCGCAGAGCTCGGAAGGTCTATGCTCATGCAGCTCTTTCTTCTTCGAACCAGGGAGCTCGGTGAGCACAAGGTGGCGAAGCGCCTCGGATAGGCGGCGCGCCCAGGGGGAAAGTGAGAAGGGGCGGGCGGGCCTTCTCAGAAAGCTGGGAAGGTCCCCGGCCTTCCAGGAAGTTTTCCAAGCATTCTCCGCGCCAGGGCCGCCGCCGCGCCCAGGCGGCGCAGGCCTGCCGTGGCCTCCCCCTGGCTGGCTCCCGCAGGACGGGCGCGCTCGCCCCCTCCGTGCCACGCGCTGCCACCACGTCGGCTACGCGCAGGAGTGGCCCCAGTGCGGCGCTTGGTGGCCCTGGGTGCGCGGCTTCGGGTGGGGGGTGCGGCGGGGGGGGGGGGGGGGGGGCAAACCCAGGCGCGCAGGCCGCTGCTGTCGCATCGCGCTCAGCGATCTGGGGACCCCAATGGGCCCGCACCACAGGTCACTGTGGCGAAAAGCAAGATCAAGCAGCATCGAATCGGGAGATCGGATCGAACCGGACTGCGCAACGAATCGGGCTGCATCGGCACGGAGTCGAAATCGAATCGGCTCGGTTGCGCCTCGGTGGACAACTGCGCCATGCAGACATGTGGCCGCATCGGATCGTCGGAAGATCGAAATCGAACCGGATCGAGCTGGCCAAGATCGATGTCGAATCGGATCGGTCGGATCCTGCGCATAGCCGCCCATGCCTCGAGGAGCAGAGGCCGCCCAGACCGGGCCAGAGCAGACAGGGTCGGAGGCTGGCGCCGAGGCACAGCACAGGCGCAGTGCCTCGGCGACGCCGGGATGGAAAAAAGTTTCAGGCCCCGGATCGGCCCGTATCGCTGATGCACGATCGGCGCGGCGCGACCCTCCGATCACATCTGCTCCGATGTGCAGAAGAAGCAGACGCGGCACAAGCGCAACCTTTCGCCAGCTTTCTGGAATCCGGGCGAAGCGCTGGGGTCGGCGCTGGATCCCCAACCCCGTTGCGCGCGAAGCGCGCCGGGGGCGGCGCCAGAGGTGCCGCCAGGGGGGTCCGGCGCCAAGCCACGCAATCCGCGCGGGCCTGCGCGAAGTTCCCCAAACAGTGCTTGCACTT